CGCCCCCAGAGCAGGGCAGGCTCTGGCTGCGGGCCCGTCACGTGCGGCTCCTTGCATAAGTCCCTGATAAACAACATGTGTGACCGGTTTCCACCAAGATTGCAAAACGCCAGCGCGGGGGGCGGGGGGCTGCTCCCCACTCCGGGGCTGCTGGACACCCCACCACCTGCCACAGGGGGTGCTCCCCGTACCCCCACCCCAGAACACCCACGGGCTCAGCCCGTGAACTGTCAGGGCAGACGGATCCTGCAAAGGGTCCTCTACCCAGGTCACAGCCCCAGCCCAAGACCCTGCAGCGCCCCCAGCCTGCTCAGTACGCAGGGCACACCCCCTGGCTCCCCACTGCAGGCAGGCTTTGGGAAACCCTTGCAGGCAGGAGTAGGGCCCTTGGGGAAGGGGGGCTGCGACAGGGGAATGGGATGTTTCACTGCCCCAGAGGCCCTGTGATGGGAAGCAGGACCACCATGGGGCTGAGGTTTTCCCCTCTGGGATCTTCCAGTTTGTCCTGGGGAAGAGCTGATCCTGCATTGGTCCTCAGAGCCCCCCAAGCCCATGTGGCCCTGTGGCACCAGGCACGGGGCTTTCCCCTGCACACCAACCAGCCAGACTCATGCACTGGTATCCGAGAGAAAATCAGGAACTCCCACATTTCCTGCCTTCTTGTCCTATGGTTGGGATGAGGCTCAGGGAGAGGGAGCTGCAGCACCAACTTGGCACAGCCCAAGCCAGGCACAGGTTGCAGGCAGCACTGGCCTTGCTGGAGCAGCTTGAGGGGTGACTTGCCTGGACGAAGACCCTTCTCCAAGGTGTTTATTGGGGCTGCTGCAGGGCGCAGGGGTGTCACAAAGCTGTGAGGGGACAAGACAAGGACAAATGCAGCTAGAGGAGCCAGGGAGCCCCAGGGTTGGGCCAAGGGCTGTGGAGCAGCAGCAGGGTCTGACCAAATGCCAGCTGGGTCCTGCGTAGCTGTGAGTGGCTGGATGAGGCAAGGGCTGAGCTCTGGGAACCTCCTGTCAACACTGTCTGCACCTACAGCTTCATTTCTGGAAGGAAAGGGGAGTGCTGAGGGGCTGGGGAGATGTCAGAGCCCAGCACCAGGGCTGGAGACCCACTTCTGCCCACCCAAACACCAACAAGGGATAAAGTTATTCCCAGGGACCCCACCCCTCACCCCGGGGTGCCCCTGTCCCAGGACGCCCCATCTCAGACCAGCCCTTACCCCAGGAAACACCAATGCAGACCCTGCTTATCCCAGTTTAACTCATGTGGAGGGTGAACAGGGCTTTGCTTTGCCAGGGGGATGGTCTGCCACCTCCTCACCCCACACAAGGGCACAGAGACCACGTCCTGGGGGGTGGTCTGGCATAGACTCCCCGTGTCAGAGCAGCCCCATGGGCTCCTGGGGTAGGACAACATGGCTGTGATGTGGTGTGGGTCTGGTCCAGCATGCCCAGCCCACAGGCAGGGCAGGGAGAAGCCACATGGGGCCAAGCCTGGCACACAGGAGGACCCAGGGCTTCCCTGGGTATCCACAACTCACCATTGAGGACGTGAAACTCATCTGCGGAGTCGCAGAACCCTGGAAGAGAGAGAGCCTGGGGTGGTCACCCTTCTTGGTCCCCTGGGACCCCCAGCCTCTGCACCCCAGAGACACTGTGGGGGACACAGGGCCACAGGCTGCTCAAACCCCTGTGGATGTGCCTCCCCCTCCCCAGATCCCAGCCTCTGCTGCCAGGCCTGTCCCGGGCACAGCCCTGGCTGTGGGTGCCCTCTGCTTCCAGGGGACTGTGTGCCACCCACCGTATATGGGGAAGTAGTAGATCATGTCTTCACTCAGACCCACAGCCCTGGTGCGCTGCTCAAACTTCTCCAGGACAGCATCGCTGACCTGGCTGGTCCGTCCTGCACCAGAAGGGAGATACTGTTAGTGGCCTCAAGCTCTGCCCCAAAGCCCCCTGTGCCCACCCCATAGCAAAGCTCAGGGCCAAGGGGTCTTTCAGCTCAGAGAAGGTGGTTACTGGCTGTCCCCACGCAGTGTTTGGGGATGAAAATCGCCATCTGGGGACTCGACCCCATGGGGATACCCCATCCCTGCCTCTTGGTCCTCCAGGGCTCTGATAGGCATCCCCTGAACACAGGGGGCTTCCCAGCCCTCTGCCACCCCGACCCCCAGGGCAATCAGCCACCGTAGAGCTTGACTGAGATGCTCCGGCCCTTCTGGTAGTAGAGGATGGTGTAGCTGCTGTGGTCAGTCTCAGCCACCACAATGTCCACCTTGCTGCCATAGCCACGGCCTGGGAACAACAGAGGACAGCCCCAGTTAGTCCTGCTTAACCCTGGTTAGCTCGAGTACCATCCAGGGGCCTCATTTCATCATGAGCAGGAGGCACATGGGGCAGAGTGGGTGCAACCCTGTGGGGTGCCAGTCCCCACCAGTGGGCACAAGCCCACAGAGCTGCCTGTGACGGCATTTGGCACCAGGGCACTTGGGGATCCCTGAGGTCGGATATAGGCTGGACACCAGTACCACAGCCTTGCCAAGAGCAAGAGTGGGAGGTCCCACCCTGCAGTCCCCACAGCCCCCACACCACCCCTCACCCTTCAGGAGGAAGCGTCCGTGGGCCTGGGCAGGGAGGTAGCGCTGCTGGATTTCCCAGCACATCCCGTCCCTGGATAGGGAGAGGAGGAGCCTGTCAGCACAGCACCCAGCCTGGTCCCTGCTTGCCCTGCATGCCAGGACACACATGGGACCTGTTCTCTTGAGACTTAGTTTTCTGCCCTGGGCAGATGCTGCAAAGGGTTGTCCCAAACCCTGTGGCAGACACATGGAGAGCTGCAAAGCCCAAAACCTGCTGAGCCTGCAGTGTCCCTGTCCCTGCCTGCCACCCCAGTGGCCCGTGTCACTCACAGCTTCCTGAAGGTGCTGATGGCCAGGCTGTGCCCGTCCGGGACGCTGAGTGTCACGGCAGTGGCCTGCAGCCGGTGGCTGTGCTCCGCCAGGCTGCTGCAGCGGGAGGCCATGCCCACCAGGAACCACCTCCCTGCCAGCTGCATGGACAGGGGTCACTGCCCGCCAGGTTATCACCAGGGGCTGCCAGCACCCTGCTGCCTGAGTACCCACAGCCCCAAGCACCCTGCTGCCATGCTGTCCCCCTTCACTTGGCACCTCTCCCCACAGGCCAGACCCTTGGTGTGCCCTGGGCAGGACTGTCCTTGTGGGGCTGGCAGAGGGATGGGGCAGGACAGACAGGAGCCTGGCACAGGGGACGGGGGTCTGGAGGTCATTCCTGCAGGGGGACAGGCAGGGATGAGCTGGGGGGGACACTGCAGAGTCAGAGCTGGAGGGTAACGGGCAGGGGATGGGCTTGGGGGACATCGTGGGGCCACAGCTGGAGGGTGACAGGCAGGGGACAGGATGAGGGGACACTGAGGGAGCAGGGCTGGGGGGGACTGACAGGGGAACGGGCTGGGAGGACACCCTGGGGACAGAGCTGGGGGGATGACACGGGGTCAAGAGCTGGAGACGAAAGGCAATGGACAGGACAGGGGGACACGCTGCGGCCCCTGGCCCCGAGGAGGGGGTCAGACCCTGCCCCCCGACCTCCCCGAGCCCCTCACCTGGGGGAGGCTGAGACCGGCCT